TAGGCAATCCTGGCTCTAGGTTGAGGTGGGTTTGTGTAGGGACTGGCAAACTTCAGTGGGTTTGTATAGTGATTGGATGAACTTAGTTTGCCAAACCCCAAAGGGAATGGAGCTTGAGACAGGGACCCAGAATGAGATCCAGAACAGTTATTCATTCAGGAAGGTGACAACCCAACAGATCCCTTTCTTCACTATCTCTGCCTATCACCTCAGTCTCAGGATTTTTTTTTCATGATATAAGTTATTTTCAGCCATAACAGAAAAAAACACAAAATATGGTACTTAGATGACTTTAGGGCTGACATAATAATCACCCTTAAAATTAAGCCTGTTGGAAAGGTTAGTGCTTGAATAGGCATCCATATTATTCAGCTTCTTCTTCACATTGTATCCAAATTCAAAACATTGAGGTTCATTTATTACCGCTCAGAATCTGACCCTAGCAGGAAAGAACCAGTTGTAAAATAATTATGCCTTTCTATAGCTATATGGCCCTCATTATCCTTTTCCATAGCTAACGGCCCTCATTGATAGAGAATTTGGGTATCAGTGGGTGCATCTACATGTTCAAGGGATCTAGGAACAGTTTACTCTTGAGTAAACTACTTGAGAGTAAACACTCCCGGGCACGTCTCTACACATGCAGGGACGTGGAAGATTTGCTGCTCCTAGCAGCAGGCTGCTCCCATGCCCTGCGGCCCTGCACCTGGCCCCTGTAGCAGCCTGGGGGAGCTCTAGGATCCCCTGGCTGCTAGCCCAGGGACCAGAAGATATCTGACATTGCTCCCTGCCCTGAGGAGCTGCCAGGGTGGACTCTGACACTGGAGCCTGGGCAGGAACAATGTCCCTCTTCCCCAGCAGCAGGGAGGTCCTAGCCCCTGCTCTATGATCCTGGAGCTGGCTCTGGGAAATAAGAATCTCCCAGCCTGGATTCCATGACCATGGGGTTTGGGCTGGGAGATAAGGATCTCCCAGCGATGGCCCTGTGACCACAGAGCTGGTGCTGAGAGATAAGGATCTCCTAGGTTGGGTCCTGTGACCGCTGCCAGGACTTGGGGCCACTGTGGGTCCTGTGATCTCCCAGCCCTCACTGCATGATTGCCAGGTGGGGGCTGGGAGCTCCCTACTGCCAGGGCTGGGAGTTCCCTACTGCCAGACATTGTCCCTGCCAGGGCTTCAACAGCAATGCCCACACCAGCAGCAGGCAGCTCCCAGGGGCAGGAAGCAATCTCCTGCCTTCTGCTGCCTGGCTGACCGGGAGTACATTTGCTTTTGGTCAGGCATCTACATGTGCCCTATTGTACAGTTACTAACCATGAGTAAATTTGCTACTTGCATTTGCAGGTAGCAAATTTACTTATGATTAGAGCCAAATACTGCACAGTAAGTGTCTGCACATGTAGACATGGATGCTTACTGCACAGTAATTAGCTCTACTGAGCAGTAAAGCATCTGGTGCAGACATGCCCAGTGTTAACACAAGCAATGAAGGGGAGTGAGGGGAAGACAAACAAGGCCTTAATTGAAGCAATTTATTGAGAGCAACTGCTTGGATTTGGTCTTGCAGTATCCAGTCTATGTCACTGTATAGCATTGCAGTTTCATCACTTCTGATAGTGCATGAGGAGTTAAGGAACGGTTTGCAAGGGGACTTAACTCTGTTAAAATGCACACTGTAGCCTACAAACAGCCTATTAGTGCCAGTGTGCCAAGCATCTGCAAAGGCATTCTTTTAGTCAGAGAAAACAGCTACTGAGGGAGGCATCTTATGGTTACCCAAGCATTGGTCTGCTGGCTTCCCAAACAATGACAGGCTGAAGGCAGTGCAATTACTCTTTGTAAAGTTCTTGCCATCTATATAAGGGGCAGCTGGAGAAAGAAGGGTCTCTGAACTCCCTGTAGCCAGAGTTAAGTCAGCGGGTAGGCAGCAGAGAAGCATGTACATTAAAAAAGCACTAAAAAGGAGAATTTCTATTGAAGCGGTAGGCTGAACTCTCTCCAAATGATGATCTGATTACTCAAGGATCCTCCAAAGCTCACTGTCACCTAGGTTCCCTCCCAACATTGCTCCCCTGGTCTCTCTGGAGAAGAATAAGCCTTCTGAGGCAAACAGAAAACCCATCTAAACTATTCTGTTCCTGTTGTTGTCTCATCAGTAATCCCTCAATTTCAGGATGATCTCTACCACATCTCATTGATGGGTCTTGAGGTGAGTAATGAGTCCAATCCTTGAGCCACAGACCCATCCAGAGAAGTTGCAGCTCTTTCTGTAGGGGGGTGTAGGCCATAGGCTAGGTCCCCAGGGGCGGGCAATTATTTTGGGCAGGGGGCCGCTTACTGAGTTTCAGCAAGCCATTGAGGGCTGCATGACAGGCAGCCCAGGGCAGATTAATATTAATTTTCTACCTTTTTTAGGGGCCCTGTGGGCCAGATAGAATGGCCTGGTGGTTTGCATCCAGGCCCCAGGCCACATTTTGCCCTCCTCTGGGCTAGGATTTCTCTCCTTTTTCTTCCTCTATTCTCTTCACTGCTTTGAGGGCAAGATACTTAACCTCTAAATGGGCTGCCACTTGGTTGAGTTTGTGGCACCACTAAAGTTGATTGACAGCCAGCTCCTCCCAGCTCTTGGTGTCAGCATCTGTTTTCTTGAGGTATGCTTTCAATGTGTCCTTGTAGCATTTCCTCTGTCCACCATGAGTTCTCAGGCCATTATTAAATTGGGAGTAGAGCACTTATTTTGGGAGTTGAGAGCTGGGCATCTGCACACAATGTCCGATCCAGTGAAGTTGGTGCTTGATTCAATGTTCAATGGTAACATTGGCTTCAGCAAGGATACTGGTATTTGTGTGGCGATCTTCCCATTTGATGTGGAGGATTTTCTGGAGGCATCATTGGTGATACCACTCCAGGTTCTTGAGATGATGATAGGTCACCCACATTTCACATCCACAGAGGAGAGTGGGGACGATGACTGACTTGTAGACCTGGATCTTGGTGTCTTTCCAGAAATTGCAATAAATAAAAAAACACGGAAACAATTTCCTATAGAAGGCACTTGCACACCAGATCCTGTGCTGAATCTCCTCCTCAATGTGATCCTATGCTGAATCTCCACCTCTGAGAGATGTGGCTACAAAGGTAGGAGGAGTGTTCAGCTACATTCAGGGTCTTCCCTTTGATGGTAATTTGGGGTGGGAGGTCACATTCATGACTTGGGCCAAACTGATAAAGCACTTTAGTCTTCTTGATGTTGAGACAGAAGCCCAAAGTTCAGTAGGCTTCTCCGAAAAGTCCAATGCAGTCTGGAGGTTTTCCTTAGTGTGTGCAAGGATAGCACAGTCATTGGCATATTGAAAGCCGAGGGTGGTTGTTTGAATACTTTGGTCTGCAACTGAAAATGTCCCAGATTGAAGAGCCCTCCATCCATTCAGTATTCTACTTGTTCTGGTCAGGGCAGTGGATAGCATGGCAGCATTTCTAGAAGTAAGTAACAAACATCAGATAGTGTGAGTTTTGTAATAATTTGTGTTTTTCTTATAAAGCCCCAGCACCTAGTGTCATTTGGTTAGATAAGAGACTTGTCATTTTAAGAAAAGAATTTTTTAGCCCATGTAATTGTCAGAAATCTTTTTATTTTTTAAAGAGAGAGACCCAAGTGCACCTTACAGGCTCAGAAACCAGAAGACAAATAGAAACTGCCCACATTTATTATTTTGTAAAAAGTTTCACGAATTTTTAATCCATGCATTTTGGGGTCAGCTGTTCTGCAGCATTCATATCCATTTGGTTCTAATCTTCCATTGCCTTGCTCTGCTGCATATATCCTGAAGAATCTTCCTCTTCTGGAAGGAGAGAAGAACATATGTCTCTGTGCTAAACCATTTGTTAGAAAAATAAATAATTTTCCCTGCCCTACACATGCCAGCTCCAGCTGGACACAAGCAGCGTGAGACAAGCTGCACTGCACCGTTGTTACCTGCCTGTGGAGACAACTTGATCATGCCAGCTCATAGCATTTCAGAGAAAGGAATGGAAGGAAAGTTGGACCAGCTTCTGCATTTTACCCCCAGGCTGATCAAGAGACCCAGGGGCTCTGGCTGCTGAGTTTTCACCTTCGAAGTTTGGCTTGCTATCTGATTTTCCCCAGTCTAAGCTCCAATCTCATGGCTCATCAATTGAAAGCCAACTAACAACAGCCACACTGAAAAAACAAAGCACCTGGTTTTCAAATGACTTATACCTTATGTTGTTATAGTCGCTCTCTTTCTTTGCACTGTTGCAAGTGGCTACCCATGATGCTAGGGCACGGAGTGGGGATCCAGTCTGGGAGCCTAAATCACTTCATTTATAGAAGCAAAGCTTTGAATGGCTGGCAGAGATCACTGCAAAGTGAACAATGCCAACAGCTGGCCCAGCCACACCTCCTCAGTTTCTCTTTTCTTTCTTGAAAGAAAAGCAAAATCCCTTCAGCCTGTCTGCTTGCCGCTTACTTTTCTGTGCCCCGCTTAACTGAACTCTGACATTCTCAAAAAACATGCAGAATAATTCAATTAAACTGAAAAGGACTTCTAGTTATAGCATGCTCAATGCATGTTTTTAGGAAAGAAGCTGTTTAGGAGTTTGATTTCAGTTTCTCAGCTTCATGACTTTATTCCTCCCTCTGGACTGTGCAGGGCTCCTAAAACCAGGCCAACATTTCTGGGCACATGCGGTTACTATGGGTTGTGACAACACAGCTTTCCTTGCCTGTGAAGGGTGGGGGAGTTAAATTATAAGAACAGAGCACACCCCCTTTCACCCCTTTACTCCTAGGCTCAGGTTTCTGTGCTGTGATATCCTATGAGCCTCTCTGCTCACTCTCAGCCAACTTGTACTGAGAGTCATAATTCAAAGAAGCTTGCTCTACAAGGAGGAGCAGGGTTCACGGTTGCTCCTTTCGTGACATCAGAGAATCCAGACAGGAGGTTTGCATGCCAAGTGCTGGGACACACGAGGAAGTGCCGAGAGGGAGCACCGCCTGCAGCTCTCCAGACCCCAGGAAGCTGGTGCCGGGGTTGTGGCATAGTCCTGGGTCCAGTGCTCTCTGTGCTGTTTTCTGAATGCAGAGCAGCTTTAGGGTAAGTGCATGCTTTCACTTGTCAATCAGGTCTAGGAAATGCCGCAGGTAAGACAGCACCCTTCAGCACCCCTGGAGGCATCAGGACTAGTCCTGGCTCCCGCAGGCACAGGATCTCTAGGGGCTCCCATGCTCATGGCTTTTCTCTTCCTTCCAGAGCAGGTCAGGCTCCCTCAAGCAGTGCCCAGTCAGAACAAGAGTGTCTGTGTGAAAGCAGCTGCTTGTTTGGCATGGACTTTGGAAGGGGTTAGCCAGGGAAGCATATCAGCACTCTGAAAACAATCAGATTTATATTTTATAGGAACAAATTATCCAGGACAAGCCCTTCTACTAATGGCTAGATTGGGGAGCATGGAAGCTGTCAGAGAGAGATGCAGAGAAACTAGTGGGTCAATGGAATAAGGTGAACCAAGATAGGGAGAAACACTTCTGACCTACTAGGGGCTGAGTTCACAGTACTGCCTGCAGTTAAGGATGAACTGGCACTTCCCATCGGAAGACCTGTCTTTTGTTTACAACTATTGGGACTGAATCTTTCTGTGCTAAGTGCCTGTCTCAGGGCACTTTGTATATGGAGAGATAGGGAGGAGTTTCACTGAACATTGAACAAGAATGAGATTAGGAAAAAAAAAAAAGGTTTTGTCCATGTTAAAGAGATTCCTCCAATTACAGAAAAGACGTGACTGTATCATAATGCATCCAGCACGAGGGGGCTGAATTAAAATTGCCCAGGCAACCTTATCTCAGAGACTTCCTAACTCTGAGATAAGCAATATTACCGGAATGTACTTTTAATATCGTAATTTGCATGCAGTTAACAATTATAATGGTTTGGGGCTCAAAAAGAATGTCAGCCATTTATATTTGACTATATTATTATATTAGGTTTGTCAAGTTCTTTGAGACACTTGCATAATGGTTTTCATGCAAGTGGCTCAAAGAACTTAAGACTCACAACATTTCCTCTAAAGGACAAATATTGTTTCCAAGCCACAGATGGAAAACCAGAGGCTTGTGCAGTGACCTGGACTTCCTGGATCAAGTACAAAACCAGTGGTACCACTGGGAAGAGAGCCCAGGAATCCTGACTTTGTGTTTGCCTCTGCTTACCTGGAATTTGACTGAGCATGAATGCAGCCAAAAGTCTATTGCTCCCCAATATACGGTAATGTAAAAATTCACTAGGGGTAGCGGTGCAATAGCAATGTAATTCTAATCTCTGTACCATGAACCTGGCTCCTTTAATACAAAGTCTTCATGTTTGTTGACCTAATTAAATTTAGTACACATGATTGTGCAGGGACCCAGATCCTCGGTGATTCTTGGAGCAGAAGAAAGACGAGGAGGGAGGAAAAACCCTGTATCCTAGGCCCATAAGCTAGAGTGGTCTCAGGGATGTTCTAGATTTTATTCTGTTTACAAAAGCCCATTAGGAATCTGAGAATAGCCACAGTTCAGTGTGCTCCAAGCAAGCTTCTATCTGCTCAGGACTAACCCACAATCTATACTCTACGCTGGAAGCAGAGCCTTATACCAGCTATAACCTAGCTGAGGAAGTTCCCCATCATGGACCCTTAGGAACACAGTCTATTTAATTCCTCCTTTATAGTTTCAAAATTGAGTGGAGGGTCCGTCAGCATAGGAGAGACCAAAGCCAGGTTAAAACCGGTCTCAGACTGCTCTAACTCCATCCCCAGTGCTAAGAAATAACCTAGAGTCACGAACCGTACAGCACCTTTTCATACAGAGTGGCTGGGGCCACTCCAATTGAGTATAATAAATGATAAAGGAACAATATAAGCTGTGCTGTAAATAATAATGCTGTGATTCCATTGATGGCTTTGGTGCCATTATAAATGATGGGAGAGAAGTCAGGAGGTCTTTTCACACCAGCAGACTCACACTGGAATTATAGATCTAATTTAAGTGCACTTGGGGGGTAAATTATTTACTGGATTGTAAAGCTCATGGAGATGGATGTTCAAGTAGTCAAGAGTCCTGGACTAGGTAAGCATTCCTGTCCTAATAACTGAATGTGGAATTCAGCCCTGTGCAGAAGGGCCAGCTTAACACTTCTCAAGGCTTATGCACCATTTAAGGTCTTCACCAGCCTGTGACCCACACAGTTCATTGGACTACACACATAGGTGAATTATACAATAGACCCAGGGGGTGGTTGCCCTGAACTAGGTTCCATTTTCACTGTTGAACTGGAGATGGAAGAGAAATTATTTTCAAGCTCATGGAGAAATAGTAGATTTTTTGTGATTCCCTGGAAGAATGTTATTTTGCTGTGTTACAATAAATGAATATGATGTCCTGAGGCTACCAGTATTCATGCTTACTGGGCATAATTCTCATGTCATTTAAGGTGTGTGTTTCTCTGTCTTAAGGCGAATAGCTCAGTGGCGAGAGCACTAGATAAAACACTAAACTTTGGAGAACCTGGTTATTTCCCTCTTCCATAGACTCCCTGTGTGATGCAGCAAAAATAAGAACCTAACTCTGCCTTGGTTTCACCACCTGTAAAATGGTATAGTAACTCTGCTGTGCCTCACAGGGGTGTTTTGAGGATAAATGCAGAAGGATGAGACTTGTACAAAAGTAAGTAAGATATAGAACAAAACTACTGATAATGCATAAACTGCAAAGGCTTAAGGAGGTTTGCTATGTGTAAGCACCCAGCCATTTGGTAGCTTAGCTAAATTCTCTGAAGCTGCAAAGTCACAGTGGAAATCTTACAATTAGATGCTTTTTCAGCAAGATCTTCTCTTGTCAAACCAAAAATATCTCTGGGACAGACTTTCTGTAGACAGCACTTTATATTTTTGGATCTGGCTGGGAACAGAAGCTAGAGAGGCAAGAAAGAAGGCTTTAAAACAAGCAAAAACTGAAAATGTTGTAGTATTAAAGACGACTTAGTTTGGACTTCATATCAGGATTTAGGGAAAGCTATGGCAGGCAGACAGAAGTTACAGCAGATGGTCTGTTTTGAAACATCTTAATCTGACCCCTGTGCAATGAGGGGTCAGATTTTCACCCGAACGGTCATTTTTTGAAGCTGTCTGTAGCCATGGACTTGTGTTTGGTCATGGCTATAAACTGCTTTCTGTGGCCAAATCAGGTGAAATTTGTCACTTCTCTCTGTGCCCTTAAGGAGGAGTATGTACTGGTTAAATAAGAGAAACAGAAGTCAGAATTCATGTCCTGGACTCTGTGTGACCTTGGGTCAGTCATTTAACTTTCCTGTACTTTAGATTTCTCATCTGTAAACTGAACATGGTAATAATTACCTCTCTGATAGAGGGCTTAATTAAATCAGCCTCTATACCACTTTGGTATCCAGATACACATGACACAATAAATACAGGATATTGTTGATAAGTCTGTTTATTTTCTGAACCAGATCACCTTTTAACTAAATAGAAACCACTGAGTTCTGCTTAGTTGTGCTGTAGCCCAGAGCTACACTTATAAGATTCTTTGTATTATTAATAAAGGAGACCCTTGGGGGCAGCATAGACTTCTGTTTTACATCAGGAAAGCATATGACATGATCCATATAAACTGGAAAGTTGACTTCAGAAAGCTTTGGATCCGGTCCCTGATGAAGTAGAAGGAAAGTTTTGAATTACAGGAATGTGACATAACTAGGAATGTTACAGTAAAAGGACTTACTAGAATGAAATTGTTTTCAGAACAAGATTTCACTCCACTGTTGACCTGATAGTTGGTCCAATTAATAATATATGATACTGGTCAACTGAGTCCGACAATCTCTCTGCTGTGACTGGAAGTGCCAGTCAAGGTTGTCTAAATTGTTTTTGTCCAAAACTTGGACTTTCAGGCAAAAAAAGGAAGAAGGAAATAGATGAAAACTTCACTTGGACTTTCAAAACAATATTGAATGATAAATATAGAAGGGCTAATAGAATGATCAGGGAATAGAACTCCTTTCTAATAAGAAGAGACTAAGAAAGTCTGGCTTTTATAACCTGCAAAATGAAGGCTATAAAGGAATATGATTGCTGTCTATAAATAGACCAGGGGGAACAAACAACAGGGAAGCAGAGTCCGTGTTTAAGCTAAAGGACAGCGCTGGCACAAGAGCAAGTGGGCATAAGATGGTCATGAATACACCTGGGCTGAAAATTAGAAGTTTATTTCACCATCAGAGAAGCAAGTTTCAAGAGCAGCCATCCAGC